GTGGTTTTCCTGCCCCAAACAGTAATTATGAGAAAAATATCAAACATATTCCAGTAGAGGATTATCCTACAATATATTTGACCAGTACTCAAAACTGTCAAGGTCCTCTAAAACAAGAAACTGTCACAACCAAGAGGACTCTAAGGACACATGATGACTAAATAATGTGTTGTGAATAGGATCCTAGAATAATAAAAAGTATTGGGTATAAACTAATTTGAATTAGCTTTAATTATTAATAATGTATCAAAACTGATTCATCAACTAGCATAGGTGCCATACTAATGTTGTTATTAAGTACCATCAAGTTGATTATGATGCATAGCGACCCTGTATATGGTTTCTCAAGAGCAGCTGGTCAGCTTGAACTACTGACCTTGTGATTTAAACCAACTTTACAGTCCAGCACATTAACCCACAGTGCCATTCCATACTAACATAAGATGCTAATAATAGAGGATACTGAATATGGGAATTCTCTTTTTAGTTTTTTTCTACAAATCTAAAGCTATTCTAAAATATAAAATGTTATTTAAGAATTTCCCCCATGTCTTAATTACCTAGTGCTGTAATAACAGAAATACCACAAGTGAATGACTTTAACAAACAAATTTATTCTCACAGTTTAATAGGCACCAGGTCTAGGAGAAGGCTTTTCATTTTTATTGGCTCTGGGGAAAGGTCCTTATCTCCTTTCAGTGTATGTGGGCCTGGTGTTCCTTGGTGAGCTCCAGGTGTCTTAGCATCAGTCTTCCCCTTGGGCCTAGAAGGTTCTCAGCAAGGAACCTGAGTCCAAAGGCTATGATCTGCTCCTGATTCTTCTTTCTTGCATGGTACTGAGGTCCCTTTCTCTCTTTGCTGACTTGTTCTTGTATCCTGTAAGATGAGTAATTCAAGCCACACCCAGGGAATGTCTCTGTACATGGGAGCAGTGTTATCCCACCCCAGTCTGACCTCATTAACAAAACAAACACAGCTGAATTCTCATAAACATAACGTAATCTGGCCTCCTTCATACATAGAGGTCAGACTTTACAACATATTACAAATGGAGAATAATTACATCAGATCACATAATGGGGGATGGTTACATCATTACATAATTACTAAATTGCCTCATTAGAAAGCTGCCAAACCACTGAAAATCATGGCCCAACCAAGTTGACACATATTTTGAGGAGAACACAATTCAATCCATGACACCCCTAAACCCTGACCCAAAGGGAATCACTTCTTGACATTTTCTTTTGACTCCTCTGAGAAATATTATATGCCTACCTAGATGTACAGTAAAACCTATGACAGCTGGAACCTTTGTAAGGCAGAAAACTGTTAGGAAAGGAAAACTCCAATATTTTCCACTAAAAAGAAAGACAAAAGTGTGCTCTGACAAAGGTGGAAACATGCGAGGCCCTAAAAAACAAAGCAAGAGTTCCTTCTCGCTTGGGTTTCACTGTAATGTAATTCCTCTCCCATCTACTTTTTTCTTTAAAAAAAGCGCAAATGGCAACTATATTTTGTGTGGTATTCTATTTCATTTAAGAATCTTATTTCGAGATTGTTTCACATAAACATATATATATATGCTTCATAGTATACTATTGTATAAAAGTACCAGAGTTTAGTGGTTCTATTGATGGATGGAGTCCTGGTGTGGTGCTATAGGGTATGTACTAGACCACAAGGTAGGCAGTTCAAACTCATCAGTTACTTCTGGGAAACCTTATACAGGGATGCTATGAGTCAGAATCGATTCAGTGGCACATAACAATTGATGGATAGTTCTCACTATTTGATTGCAGTGTGTTAGTTTATAACCCTAACATTAGGAACTGGAGAGTTGGGGTGTGGAGGTCAGGATAGTGGGGAATAGGAGGGACTGACAACAGTGTAGTTTCTTTCAGTGTTAAGTTGGCATTTTCTGTTTTTACTTTTGTTATTCTTAACTTCTATCCAGAAGAGGATTTGAAACAGGCTGCCTCTTAGTTATGTAAACCTATTTGATGAGTATCTGGAAAATACCTCCTCTGTGCTAATCATGCAAGTAAGTCCAGGTGATACAGAAGGATATTAAGTTACAGACTAAAATTTAACTCTTCGGGGTGACAGATCCAGAAATGTGAACATAAGATATACTGTGCTTAGACTATTTGTCATCCTGCTGCAGAAACACAGAAGAAGGAGAGTGCAATAATTTGTGGCACCAGGCATTCCTCTCACAACCCTCTTACTTAGCTGGGTGTGATAATCCATTGTAGTGGCCATAAAGGACTCATGCACCATGCTAACTGTCATTGTAGATAACAGTTTATAGTTCAGGATCAGAAATGTGCCAGCCACAGTTGTTTTGAGTCAGCTGCTGATAAATGTCCATAGGACACACCACTCCACCATTAGCTTCAGCCTGAAGGCGCTTGGCTCTAGCTCCGTGGGTCAGCAAACCTAGCTGCCGCACGTAAATGCTTGGAGGAACCCTACTCTACAAGCAAGCTTCCTGCCCAAAGTCTCTCAGCTTTCCTTGCTTCGTGGACTGAGGAGTCCACAGCTCTGGTTCTTGGTTCTGCACTGCTGCTCCTCTGCCACTCCTCCAGTGTCACAGCTTTCTGTCTTTAGGTCAAGGGGGTTCAATGCACAGAATCTTGGGGTCCAAATGATGTGCTCCATCCGTGGCTCTTCTTTGATGATAGCGATATCTCTTTCCTGTTTCTGAGATGACTCATTATAAACTAGAGTTTCAAGTTTTTTACAATTACAATTAACTCTGCTAAATATTCACAACTGAATCATGCAATCCTATCAGTATCTTTTTCCACGTTCTCTTAGCCAGACCTAGCAGGGCAGAAATGTTGTTTGGTAGAGTTACAGACTAATCACTACACCACAGGAGTAACTCAGCTATGCTTTCTATTTTCATTGGGTTGTAGATGTCATTTCGAATCAACTCGGAAAAGGTTGTTGGGAGTTAGGAAAGGCACTGTATTATGTGGTATGGTGATACTGCTGCAGTGTAATTGTTGTCGTTGCTTACCAAGTGCATCGAAGATTGAAGGAAAAAGAGAGCAGACAGGGAAGTGTGCTCTTCAGTGGCTCCTCTTCCATGAGCGGACCTTTTTTTCTTATCTCACCTCCAGGGCTGCCTTTCTTTTGTTGATTTAATTATTTTTAATTTCAAAATGAACACATGTACCTTCCAATAATATACTCCAACATTTCCTCTGACATAACTTTCATTCTTTCCCACTTTGCTATCTGTTTATAAATGGAAAGATATATATATATATATATGTTTAACATTACTGGTGTCATAAAAATATACCATCTTCATACTTGATTTGGTCAGGTGTTAGAGGACATGTCATGTCACCTGATTCCATTTCATAAATGTAACTGAGTTTATGTAACCTATCACCATTTTGTTTATTATTGCTAACATTGTGACAGTTTCTCTAGGTTACCAGTAAGGGGATTTGCTGCAGATAGTACTTAGCAGTTTACCATTTTTACCATGTACTTACTACTGAAATGCAGGACAAAAAGCAAGTAGTATATTTGTATGGACTGTATAGTATAATTTATGTTGAGAGAGAAATTCCTAGATCTGTCACACTAACCAACTACTCAGAAGTCGTGGTGTGATGCTGTAGGATAATTACTGGATTGCTAGCCGCTAAGTCGTTAATTTAAACCCACTGGCTACTCATTGGAAAATTTGTACAGGGTTGCTATGAATTGGAACTGACTAGACAGTATTTAGAGGAGCTCTGGTAGCATTGTGGTTACTAGTCGGGCTGCCAACCTCAAGGTCAGCAGTTTGAAACTACCAGTGGTTCCATGGGAGAAAGATGAGACGTTCTGCTCCCGTAAAGATTTACAGCCTCAGAAACCCTGTGCAGGGTCACTATGAGTCGGAGACGACTCCACGGTACTTAACAACAACAACAAAGACAGTATTTAACAGTAACAATCAAGTACTCATTTGAATCAGCTCCAACTTCATGACCATTCCATGTATATAACAAAGTAGAACTGTTCCATAGGGTTTTCTATGGCTAATTTTTCAGAAGCATATTTTCAGGTCTTTTTCCATTGCTCTGGATGGACTCAGACCGTCAACCTTTTAGTTAGCAGCCGAATGCGTTAACTGTTTACATCACTCAGGTTCTGGGTGTCAGTATGTCATAACAACAACAGAAAAACTCCACAAACCCAAACCTGTGATCATTGAGGCAATTTCAATTCATGGTATCCTCATATATTACAATGTAGAGCTGCCTAGAGGGTTTTCCTGGCCATAATCTTTAGGAAGTAGATCAGCAGGCGTTTCTTTTACGGGTGGGTAGTTGTTAATTGTGTCGAGGTGGGTGGATGGGTTCAAACTGTCAACCTTTAGCTTTAGCACTAATCTCAAACTGCTTGAACCATCCAGACACCTTAGTTATATCATAAGAATGTGATCAAAGAGACTTTGACTCTTTCGGTAATGTTTGGGATTTATTAACGATGTATTTATATAATATTACATGAATTCTTATGGTTAATTATAAAAATATCATCTGTATAATTTATGACTGTTAATGCTTTAGGCATAGAGTAGTCCCAATTTTCAATTACATTTTAATCATTTAGACAAATCGATTGTGTGTTAGAATGTATTTAAAAAGGTAAAAAAGGTGAGAGTCACATTCTTTTGTCACTATTATCCCTATTAAAAATAATCAGATTAGGTTTTCTAGATAATATCATAAGAAGCAAGTGATCAATTTTTAAAATTTTACTGTTGACCTTAATATAATGCAAAGTAGAATATTTAAATATTACCACTATTGTTAGAGTAAACAAATGTTTATATGAGGGGACTTCCAACACGTTCAATGAAAAAATGGAATGAAAAGATACTGGGATTTTTCCATGAACTTGTTGAAGCCTCCTTGTATATGATTTGATAAGTAGATTTTTAAAATAGATCTTTTTTGATATATAACTTTTTTTTCCCCTCAAAGAGATGTGAAAGCTGGAAATATTCTTCTTGGAGAAGATGGTTCAGTGCAAATTGCAGGTAATGTTTATGATATCTCTTTTTATTTTTGCTTTAATGATCACTGGAACAGTATTATTTTTTTTTTTAGTCAATTTTTTATTCCTTGGCAGAACACTACCTTATTCAAGCATGTGACATTGACTGACACATTCTTTTCAACATTCAGGGTATTCTACTATTCACTCTTTACTTCTGACCTTAGCCATTTTTCTGGCCATTATTGTCTTCCAGTTCTTTCTATTGTGATCCTCATAGCATTGTGTACTTTTCTCTGAAGAGGTAAGATGCCTCAGTGACTCCTGTTCTGGGAGAAAGGGTAGTGGTGGTGGTTGTATGCAGTTGGTTTCAATTCATAGCAACCCTGTATAAGTTTCCAAGGCTGTCAATTTTTATGGGAGCAGAAAGCTTCATGAGAGAGAAGGCGTATTTGACCGTTAGAAGGAGGCATCTGAGAGGTGGGAGTATACTTTTGACAGATCCACAGTACTCTGAGAGGACAAGAGTTGGAGCCCAGTGACCATCAAATGTATGTATCCCAGTGTAACCACCCTCCTCCTGGCTTAGACTCCTGGATGGCTGTATCCAGGAGTTACTGTCTAGTAAGCACATCACTGAAGTTCTGATACGGCACTATAAGATAAGCACTGGACTGATAACCTCAAGGTTGGTAGTTCAAACCTACCATCCGCCCCTTAAAAACCCTATACAGGGTTGCTATGAGATGGAACCTATAACATCAACAAGAAGCACATCATCTGGGTAGCTAAGAAACCCTTGACTCCACCCTGCTAGAACAGTTAAGTGTCTGGACAGGAGGAAAGTAATTCCCTTATTATTTCATCAACTTTTGGGAGCTAATTTAAGTGAACATTTTTCTGTCTCAAGGCAAGGGAATATTGTACCAAAGCCACAAATAACTAACAGGTTGAAAAACTGACTGCTTTCATATTGCAACTTCTGTTTATTAAAAAAAGAACATATTTATCCTTTAATAGAATACAAGGACAAGCCACAAATTGGAGAAGATATTTGCAGCAAGAATAAATGGCTCAAATTTAGGATATATACAAAGGGGCTCCAAAAAGTTTGTAGAGAAAAACTTCATTATGTTTTAAGTCCATTTTTCCATGAGCTTTTTGAGGTTCCCTTATAAAGAGTTCATTAAGAAAAAGTCAGATTATCTTTAAACTTTAAACCAAAAAGTATCCTTTAACGTCTTCCTAAACCCAACTGGTAATGTATAGTTTTAACTATAGTGCTGCATTAAGAACTATGTGGAATCAAATTGACTAGAGCAACTTGAAAGAATAGATGGGACCCTCAGGGGCAGTTACTTTATTTTAATGGTGGAGAAATAACTTAGAAAAGGGAGGTGAGAGTAGTTGCACATTTCAGAGAATGTCATCAGTGTCAGTGAATTGTACACAGAGAGACTGGTGAATTGGTGCCTGTTAAGCAACAACTACAAAAAGTAAAAAAATATATATATTTAAAGTCAAGGTAACAAAAAAAAATGGGAAGGCTGGTATAGGCACTTCCCAAATGAAGATATCCAAGTATAAATATAATAAAAGGTGCTCAGTCTTACCATAATTCATTAAATACAAAGTAAAGTTACATTGGACTATCACTTTATACTGAATTGGCTGGCAGGAAGGCCAGACAATACCAAGTGCTGGGGTATGTGTAAAACAAGGAACAAAAATTTCGTACTCTATGGGAATCTATTTGGTGTAACTATCTATTAAAGTTAAAGTTAATACCTGACACTGGTTCTTAGATGTATGACCAAGAGAAACTCTTGCTTATGTGTGCCATAAAGTTTGAAGCAATCCAAATGTCCTACATTAGTAGAATGGATAAATACATTGAACAATAAACTGAGTAATGATAATAAATTAAGAATAATACATGACTATATAGGGGAGCACACTGGCTCTGTACATTAGAATCACAGAAAGAAGAGGCTTTCTGCTCCCACAAAGATTTACAGCCTTGGAAATGCTAAACAGAGTTGTTATGGGTTGGAACCATCATGATGGCATTTAGAAACAACAGTACAGCTATATACAGCAACATTAATAAGTCATAATTTAATATAGGGTGAAAGAAGTCAGCTAAAACACACACACACACATATACACACACATACATACATATGTATACTGTGATCCATTTATATAAATTAAAAACCAGTCACAATTATTTGAGGGGGCTTTAAAAAGCTCATGGGCAAATGAACTAAAAATAAATAAATAAAAAGAATTTTTCCACAAGCTTTTTGAAGCCCACACATTTTGTTTTTTAATTATTGCTGTGTGCTGTTGAGTCAGTTCTGACTCATAACAACGCTTTATAGGGTTTTCAAGAGCATGTGGCTGTTTTGAACTGCCAACTTTGTGGTTAGCAGTCCAGTGCTGATTATACTGTTTAGTGATGCTGAATTGCTGGTAAACTAGGGAGATGCAGGGAAGTGAATGCTGTAAAGCCATTGCTAGTGGGGACAGAAGAAGTACTCTGGAGGCTGTGATTGATTAGGGGTCTGTGGGGCTTCTGTGGTGCTCTCAGTGTTTCCTAATACCAATCCATTCTGCTTCATACTTATGTTAAATACATTTGTGTGTATGTTTTGTAATGCCTTTGTAAAATTTTACAATAAAATAAGCAGAGAAATACATCAATATTTAGCTTTTAACTTCCACAAATATCTGCCAAGAGAGAAACAGATGCTTATTTCTTACCGCTAAGAGAATCCACTCCTTCTTATATTTCTAGGTGGTTAACTAAAACAAAATTAGCTAAATTAGAGCCAGAGTGTTAAATACACTGTTGTTGTTTTTTTTTAAATTTCATTGTGAATTATGTGACAGTTTACATGGGAGAACATTAGTTTTACATTCATCTTATCATATATTGTTTCATTGCCATGGTTACAATCCCCTCCATGCATCACCAGTCAACGAAAGAGTACATTTTATAAGCCCGCTTCCCCACCACCACCACCACCACCACCACCCAGTCATCAGCACATAGCCCCTCTTCCTCCCTGGGTCCTGAGTCCCCAGCTGCTCCATCTCTCCACCTCACCATCTCTGCCTCCATCTTGGGAATCGCTGCCTCTCTGGGTAGGGTTCCGCTCTCCACTCTTCTCCCTTTGTGGTCCCAGGGACCTCTGCTCGCAGCCTGCAAAGTCAGTCACTCCCCTCCTTGCCACAAAATGCCCACTTTTACATTTATAACCTTCACAATCAGTCCTGGTAACAGTTATTCACCCTTGCATCACAGAAAGACCCATCCGCATTTCCTTTAATCAGTCCCGCCTAGACATATTGGATACTACTCAGTGGAGATTCTACCTTCCTCCATACCCTCTGGATCTAGGTTTCCTCTTGAAAGCTTGTAAGCCAGTCACTTCTTGCCTTTGTACCCCCCCATTTTGGATAGCCAAAGTTCAAGTTGCCCATCCCTGTCCACTCTGTGTATGGAGGGGGTGGGAATGATCCTCTCTGTAACGATTTGTTCCCTCTTTTGAGGTACTGCATCCATAGGTGTAGATCAAGTTCATCAAATTGTATCAGGTTACTCTTTTTTTTCCTCTTCTTTTTTCTTCTAGTTGAGCTCTGATCACCCAGTCATTGAGGCCAGGTTAAATGGGTATTATCAGCATGTGTGGGTACTCTTGTGGATATGCCCTCTCTTATCCACTGGACACTTCACCCTCTACCTCAGTCCTTCATGGCTGTGTCACTCAATCTGGGCCCAAGAGTCCCCAGGTCTTGCCACACTGCTGGCCAACCAGGTCTCCACTCCACCTGGGTTCACAGGAGTCTATTGAATGTTGTAGGGCTTAGCTCACAGCATTATAGCTGTTTTTCCCTCTCTTCCCCCTGTCGATGGTGAACGTGGTCACCCATCAGAGTGTGTACTCCAATTGAGTCTTAGTCTTGGAAGAGGGTTTACTCTGAGGGGACCCGACCCCTTGCCTTGATGTCTCCTGGGCGTTAAATACACTTTTTTTTAAAATACAGTTTTTAAGGAATAAATTCAGATTTCCTCAACATGGTTTTTTGTTTTTTAAAAAAAGCTACATGATTTCTATCTGAAGGATTATATAAGGAGCCTTGGTTACACAAATGGTTAAGTGCTCTGCTGCTAACCGGAAGATTGTCACTGTGAGTCTACCACCTAATCTTTGGAAGAAAGACCTGGTGATCTGCTTCCATAAAGATTAAGTCAAGAAAACGTGATTGAGGTAGTTCTTGTTAGATCTCTAGGAATCAGAAATAACTCTGTGATACCTATCAGCAACAGCAAGGGTTATGTAATAGTAAACCACTGTAAAAATACAGTCACAGGCAAATTTCGTTCAGATAAACTGCTTAATTTTATGTTGATGTGAATCAAAATAAATGTATATTTAACTAAGTTGAACTAAATATACTGTTGAAATTAGTCCTTTTAAAACAATGCCTAGTTTTAGTGCTTTAATTTTCAAAAGCTCTAGGTCAACAAATTATTCACTAAATGTTTTAATCATTATTAAAATTTGTGGCATTTGGTTTTACGTACAGTTTTAACCAAGACTGAATTAAAAATACTTGGTGTTTACACCTTTTCACGGTACATTATAGCTGTAGTATTTATTATGTTTTTGTGAAGTGCTGTCGACTTGGTTCCGACCCATAGTGACTGGTGAGATTAGACCACCAACCTTGTGGTTCAAACTGACCTTGCAGTCCAGTGCTTTAACCTCAGCGCCCCACTAGGACTCCAGCATTTAGTTACTTACATCTTCGGTAGTTTGCAACTTAAGGTCAAAGACATAATCGTGGTGTTGCTGCTTTGTTTTCTGTTGGCACATTTTTAGCTCGGTTAAGTTTGTTCTCATTGGTATTGTGCTTATGCAGGCTTCGTAATAGGAAAATTGTGGTGGAGTGAGTATTGTTACTTAGGTGCCATGTTGTTGTTGTTAAGTGCTATCAAGTTGATTCTGACCCATAGTGACCCTTTATAGGTTT